CTACACGTGAACCACACCAGGCGTGGGGGGCAATTAACATTTTTATGGAGTAATGAGAGGAATGGCAATCCCAAAGGCGGGATATTGATCTGCTCGTAACACCATGAGTCAAAACAGCACTGTAAAAACTCTCCAATTAGCAAAGTGGTGAACAATCAAGTCCCTCCGGTGGGACCTCACCTTGTTTCCAGAGGAAAAACACTGGGCACCCTATAAAAGAACTCACACGCCGTTTCTCCTCATTGTCTAGTAATGAGAGGAATGGCAATCCCAAAGGCGGGATATTGATCTGCTCGTAACACCATGAGTCAAAACAGCACTGTAAAAACTCTCCAATTAGCAAAGTGGTGAACAATCAAGTCCCTCCGGTGGGACCTCACCTTGTTTCCAGAGGAAAAACACTGGGCACCCTATAAAAGAACTCACACGCCGTTTCTCCTCATTGTCTCAGCTCCGTGTCTTGAATTCTCTGAAGAGGGTAAGTCCAGCTTGATCAAACTTTTGCACTGTTAATGATTGCCAGCTTTGTCCTGATCCTGAGGTCTTGACCACCTCTCTTGCGTGTCTCATCCCTCTGATTGCCTCTGGTCACAGTTCCTCAGTCCTTCTGCCTCTGTTGTCTTCTCCATCCATGTCTGCACATATATAATAGAAAGCAAGTACGAAAATGTAAAACTTCCTCGTTCAAACAGCTGAGGACAAGACTCTTCAGGTCTAGCTCTGGACTCTGTGTTGCCACCACTTCTCACTAATCACTAAGTGCTGTAACTCCTATCTTACATATTTGCTAAGCATAGAAGAGACAGGAAAGGCTTGCTCAAAGAAAGATAAGACAGTGTCCTCTGCACAGGTCAGGGACTCCTACGGGCAGGTGTACACTGTTAATTTTTCTCTCTTCTTCAAGAACCTGGCTTAAAATGAGAGTTTATTCTTGATATATGATCCCATCTAACTAGAAATCTATTATTGCTAGCTGACAGACACCACAGCATCTCTTGCCTTTGTCACTACTCAAAGATTATTGTCTTCCCAGCAGGTCTGCAAAGATGTGCTCCCGCCAGGACAAAGACCAGTGCCACCGGCAAGAACGATCCTCATGCCACAGCAGTGAAGGGTGCCACAGAAGCAGCAGTGGATCCGGATGCCACAGGAGCAGTGGTGGGTCTGGATGCCACAGGAGCAGAGGATCTGGATGCCATGAAAGCAGTGGTGGATCTGGATGCCACAGCAGCAGTGGTGGATCTGGATGCCACGGGAGCAGAGGATCCGGATGCCATGGGAGCAGTGGTGGATCTGGATGCCACGGGAGCAGCGGGGGATCCTGCCATGGAATGCCACAGGATTGCCAGCAGCAAATTTATCAAGTATCCTCAAAGATGAAGTGATCAGGACATTATCTACATGTTATACCCATGCATGTCCTTGATCTTGTGCTGAGTTCAGAAAGCTTTGTGTGTCTCCTAGTAATCTTCAAAGGAAATGTCTCCGCTCCCTCCCCCATCAAGTCCTGTACCTCTTATGAGCTTATCTGAGTGGTAAAATAAAGTGTGTACGCTCAGGCTGGCACAGTTTTCTCTGTATCACTGTGACTATGTATGCGCCATAACAATTCGGAGTTCATGAGAGTGTTGTGTTCATGATTTCTTCTTTCACCTTGTATTTCCTATCACAAAGCAAGGTAACTTGTCCTTGTTTAATAGTCCTGGAGTTACCCTGCCCAGACAGGCAAAAGGGGTGGGCACTGCCACACTCTCCCCTATGGAATCCAAAGGAAAAGAGAGACAATAAAGATTTTTTGAATGCTGACATTTTAGGAGGCCGTCTCAGGCCCCTGCAGTGCGGGCAGCTCTCCACACCACCTTCCCACAGAGCTGGAGACCCAAAACTCCCCACAAGACCCCATGGGCTGCATTGCACAAGCCCTCAGGGCTGGTTACAAGCACACTTATGGGGAAGAAGAAGTCCTGTAGGCAAAAGCACCCGTCATGAGTCAGAAACCCCTTCTTTTGCCATCTGGCCCCAAGGCACCAAGGGACAGGTACCTCCACGTGCTAGTGACAAACACCATTGTAAGCCTTTCTAGAAACCCTCTGCCCAGCACTTCAAGAGCCCTGGGTTGAGCCATGGGCGTTGCAAGATGCTAGTGTTACACAACGAACTGATAAATTTCTTCTCAGCTTGCAATTAAAATGAATTGTGTGATTTATTGGTCTGGTATTGCCATTCATGAACTGGATCTTGCCCTGATAAGATTATTCTCGAGTGTGTCACAAGGATCAGAAATATCTGGCATTGCTGGAAAGGGTGCAGAAGGCAGCTAACTCCCTGAACAGGATGCCTGCTTTTGGTGTAGGAATCATTTGGAAAGGCTGGTTGTGTGAATCTGGCACATGCCTTAAGCCCCCATTGCAAATCCCGTTTTCAAGACGTGTTAAGGTGGACAGCCACAAAATCTAGAGGTGCCCAGGATGGCTGTCTGGGTGCTGCTGATCTTTAACAAACTCAGAATAATAAAAACATGAGGAACTGAATAGAGTGTGATGTTGAGAGCCAAAAATCGCTTTGAGTCTTTTTTCAAAGCATTTACCACATTTCTTTTGATGCCAGAACAAAACACAAACAATTTGCCCTGACACTGTTCTAGTTCATAACAGCAATTAAGCAATACAACAGAAGCATTTAGGTTGTGTACCTGATTCATTAACCCTTCCCTGTCCACCTGTCTTTGCAAAAATCCCCTGTGTTTTGGTAACACCAAACGTGTCAGATATTTTTTGGGTTGCAGGAACCACTGGGGACTTGCCATGCCTTACCGAAGGTTCAGGCACCTGCGTTCAAAGCAGGAGCTCACAAAAAGCATGTCGGTGACTGGCAGCTTGTTTAGTTTTCCAGCCACTTCCCAAAGGATGCCAGGTCTCTCCAACAGCATTAGTACAGGTGGGATGGGGCTAAGCCTCCAACACACTGTGGCCAGCATAAAAATAGCATAAAAACTTAGTCAGCATGGAGAAAGAAAAAGGCAGGGAGAGGTGGACCAAAAATACCAAATGCTTGAGCAACTCTGAGGGCAAGCGAAATATTTTACAGTCAGCGTTTTCCATGCACTTTTGCACTGACAAAATCACAGCAGTTGTCTATTTCAGCTAGAAATACTGATTTTAGTCTTTTATTTGCTGACTAATTAATGAAATATCTTCCACAGGTATTGGCAGAAAAGGGCAAGACAAGATCCATGGTCCTATGCACTTCCAAGCTCCTGCAGCAGAGGTACGGGAAAGGTACAGGGAGTATCTCCAATTATTGCTTACGATTAGCTCTCACTCCGACATGGTACCTGAAGGCTTTAAGGGTCGCGTGAGTTTGTGCATCTGCCTGCATAGAATGCCGATCTGCTGGCCAATTACGAACTAATTGGGGAGCAGGGAAAAGTGCTCCAAAAAGGATGTTCCTACAAGTTTGGAGAAAGTCCCCCGGGTCTGCCAGCTCCCCACAACGTGGCAGCCAGCCCAGGCCACCGTGCATCCCCAAAGGCAGCACCCATGGGAGCCCGTCGCCTCTGCGCGGCAGCACTGAAGCCACTCACAACCTGGAAAAAGTTACTCACGGGCTGAAAGTTAACCACATAATTGTGTACCTCGCTAATCCTGGATCACTACCCAGGACAGGCCTTCATCATTCCAAAAATAAAAATCCCAGCTGCTTTTGGTCCTTCTCGCACCAGCAGGAAATTTTTGACTGACAAAAAAGTTTTAGAGGGGATGTCTTTTCTCTCTCTTCACCATTCCACCCTATTCCAGCTGGTTTTAGGAGAAATGATACAACAGTGGCACCAGTCAAATTGCTGGTCAGGAAGAGTTGTTTACCATGCCAAAGGCGTTATTGGTACTTACAAGCACATCTCTGGGTTTATGGGCATTTGCAGGACTAGAGCGCCTCAAAACATTTTTAAAGATGGTGTGATTTAGCCATATGACATAATTCCCCCTGCTAAATGCAAAGTGCTCCCCAGCTGTGATCAACACCAAAAACAAACTGTGGAAACCGAGGCCACCCACACTACTCCCCCATCAGAGCTAAGCTCAGGTAGAGCTGGCAATTAAATATTTCTGTGGCACAGGAAAGACGACCGATAACAAGAGGTGATACCCGACACGGATGGGGTGAGTCATGCAAGCAGCCTGAACAGTGGGGAGGCAAAAAAAACCCCAAACCTATTGACGAATTAAATGAGCAGGCAGACCTCTGTGACAGGGAGGTGCTTCATTTCCAGATGTGGTGTGCAGAAAGGGTATAAAAGCGCTCCCATCCCGGAAAGCCTCATTCCCTTCTTGGAACTTGGCTGCACGAGCATCTCGGGTAAGAGCAGTGATGCTGTGGGGCTTTGGGGCTTGGAGCAGCAGTTGAAACGCTCTGGGAGGTGGATGGGTTTGGAGAGGGCTAAGCCCCATGCCTTGGACTGGGCTGGGGCTTGTTCTGTCGGTGCTTGTGAGCAGGGATGTGGGGTGAGGAGGGAGGGCAGAGGGTGCCAAAGGACAGCAGAGAGATTCGGGCTTGGAGGGAAGCCCTGGGGTGCTGCTATTCTCACTTTGTGAGGAAGATGTCTCCGCTTTGGAAAGCCAGTCATGATCAGCCTGCCCAGATGATCTGGATGCTCCCAGCATCATTGGCTACGGCTTTGGTGGGACAATCCCATGGGTGGTATAAGAAGTTGATGCAAGGTCTGAAGATGATCGTGGGATCTGGCTAAGACTGGATAAATGTACATCCAGATTGCTCTTCTCTGGAAGAGCAGAAGCAGGAAAGAAAAACCCCTGACAGCTCCTCTCTCCCCACAGCTCACACCAACA